CAGGAAGTTGACATCAACAAAAGGAACAGCTCAAGCTTGAGATCCAGCCAGAATTGCAGTCATCTCCCAATAACTGATCTCAAAAGATAAAACATCCTCGTTACAAAGTAGTCTAAATTTAGAATTAATTAGAAGACGAGGTACAATCTTACAGTTTCAGACAAGTTTGCTTCAGGTGACAGTTAAACTGGCATTTTCAGCTCATAACCCTGTTTGCAGCTATCATGAAAATTCATGTCCAAGTAGAAAATTTGTCAATATCTTACTCGAAAGATGATTTTTAAACTCAAATTCAATTTAAAAATTAATTTCAAATAAGCATATAAAGGAAAAAAAGAAGTTATTCTTCTTTCAGGTACATGGTCACAGCGGGGCACAAGGGAAATGGAGGGTTGCAGCAGAGGTGTGAAACGGTGAGAGCAAACCATCGTGCTTTAAGGAGGTATCGGTGTCGAGGACACATATTCAAACTCAAATCTTGTAATCACTTGGCTGGTTACACTTAAATGGCTCTTCTCAGGTACATTCATCTTAGAGAGCACAGCAAAATGTAGGAATGGAATGGAGGTACCAATCAAAGGGATTTGGCTGATGTCTAGCTTCTGGAAGATGGTATCATTCAACAACCCATTTCAGTATGCTGCGTATGCTTCCAAGGCCCCCCAGCCAACACAGATATGGACATCATGATCCCACTGCCTGCCTTATGCTGGCAGTACAGCTTATACAGTGAGGTGGCCTAAGATCAAACTAACCCTATTTAAAACAGACCAAAAGAAACTCTAAACTAGTCATATACGAACTAACTGGCTGAATGCCAGTTCTCTTGCAAGGGAAGGGATGAAGACATACATTCATGAACTGAGAGAGTCGGACTTGTTCAGCCTGGAGAAGAGAAGGCTCCGGGGAGACCTTATAGCACCTTCCAGTGCCTGAAGGGGCTACAAGGAAGCTGGGGGGACTTTTCACAAGGGCCTGTAGTGACAGGACAAGGGGTAACGGGTTTAAACTGAAAGTGGGGAGGGTTAGATTGGATATCAGGAAGAAATTCTTCCCGGAGAGGGTGGGGAGGCACTAGAACAGGTTGCCCAGAGAAGCTGTGGATGCCCCATCCCTGGAAGTGTCCAAGGCCAGGCTGGATGAGGCAGGGGGGGTGGAACTGGATGGTCTTTAAGGTCCCTTCCCGCCCAAACCGTTCTGTGATTCTATAAGGAAGTACCTTAGAACTGGGCTGGAGTGCAGGAGCCTCATTTCAAATGAGCTTAAAACAATACAACCCCTATAGATCCAGGTGTGAATGTGTTATCCAGTGATCTCGCACTCTGCAAAACCTGCAAGGCTTTATTTCTCTCATTCTCTCTTGTGTTAAAAAACCTCTTCTGGTACACAGTGCTACAGGATATTCTCACACCAGACACACGTGGAACAGCAGTTTCATAGGCAGAGGTCTCAGAGCAGTTTGATACTCGTCTAGTTTTCCAATTTCGTATTCTTAAAATAGCAACCAGCTATGTTACAGGCCAAAGTGAAGATGGGAGGGATTACTGTATTAAGATAAAACTGGGCACAGCTTTACTGAGAAGGGAGAGAACTAACTTCTGACTGGTCTGGGAAAATACATCTCTCTCCAAGCGTGCACTGGAAACACAGGGCTCCTCCAGGTTTTCTCCCAAACTCCAAAGTGAATGCCACCATTATCTAGTGGACATCAGGGCCATGCTGATCCAGAGTCTACATTACACGGACAGAGGGCTCCTGAGCAAACTACAAGAGAGAAATTAATGTCACAACCCTACTAGTCACCACGGAGGAGCTCTAAGTGTTCATCCCGCTTACCCAGACCCAGATGGGCACCAAACACAATTCCACTTCCTCCTTGAGCCAAGTGAACTAATAAATACGCAATAAACTACGGATGCCACAATCTCTGTGCCATACAAACAAACATACACACACACATCCATCCTCGAACTCAAACATATCCTGGGTTTTAACTCAATTTTGTCAATTAGGAGGCACTTTCTAGCTATGGGAATCACTGCTTCTTGCAGCTAATCACTGTCCATGGATTGTCCTTCGTATCAGACAAACTAAAACTGACAGCTTCTACCCAGTGACTCCCCAGCTGCTAAGCCACACAGAATAGTCCTGACTGCCTTCATAAATCCAGAAGAGAGGTGCTCTGGAATAAGACAATTTGCTCCGTTTTCCTATCTGTCACGTCAGTCACATACAGAGCTGAGCAAATATGAAGTATCCCATGGTTTCACATGTTTTCAGCGTGTGTAATAAACCCCATCCCCGCAACGGTCAAGCCTTAGTATTTTACCCAGTGAATCCATTTTGTTTTCTTCTATTAGTCTATTGATTAAACCGTTGGCTTTCTCAATGGTGCAGACAGCAACATCCAGGGCAGAGAAACGTCCAGCAGGAGACATGCTTCCCATGTAGCCTTCAACTCTCACACCCACCTCCTGAAACAGGGCCTGTTTTCCAAGAATACAGAATGGCACACCAAGGTTACAACCCTGAATTTTGACCAACACCCCCTGGACTCCCATAAAAACCTACATCCTACAACCACAATTTCTAGTACTTGCAATGCCAACTATTCAGATTAAAACCAGAGGTCAGCCAGTTACTGCTACTTTCCGTCCCACCCCCCCGTCATTTTTTATTCCCAAAGCAGAAGCCACATAATACATGTTGCAGGATAAAGTGGACTTAACTGAGTAAGAGGTGGGGACCGCTGTTTTGCACAAAACCTTTTACTATTAAGAAGGTTAGAGAACACACAGTGCAACGGTTTATAGTACCAGTGGTTTATGGACAAAGAAGCCTTCCTCCCGAGAAAACTGGGGCAAAAGCCAAATGTGGGACCCCAAACACAAATATCTCACAGCTGAAAACTAAGAAAAAAACCCAACTTTTTTTCTTCCACAGCTTATTACTGCAGCGCCAAAGCTTTGGCACATTAGTCACCGTGTTAACAAAGGGTACGGATGTTTGAACCAGGTGGGTAGGATACCATGATTCCAAGGATGCATAGTAGGGCCAAACCTAAGGCCAGGATTAAGGGAACACAGCACCGACAACCATCCAGCTTGACAAGATTAAAGCAAAAGCCTATCTCCCTTATCAATCACTACAAAGTAGCTTTTGTGCTCAGTTTGTAATGTTTCCTAACAATTTGCTCGGTTAAGATACCATCCCAGTCTACTGACATCCTCAGTGTCTTAAATGACACAATACCTGCTGGTTTTGTGTCAGTTTTTAGCAATTGTTGTTACTTCGACATATTATCTAATGGAAACAACATCTGATGTGAAAGTCTTTCAAGAAATAATGTTTTTGTCTCAAAAAGACTGTTCCCACTGTAATTTTTGTGTTTTAAATAGCTGGGTTGAGGAAGCCACGACATAACCACACTCTGTCAGAACATACTTTTAGCAAAGGCGAAGTCAAAGTGAAACCAAAGGCACAAAAGTCTGGTGGAACATCCCAAGGAAAGCTAAAATATTCTTTTATCCTTTCAGATATTGTTGACACCCTCCCTTTGTAGCTCTTCAGACACAGCCTCTAATTAGAAGATTCCTTTAAAGTTTGTGTATTATGACACCTGTGAATAAATGCAAGTAACTGCTTTAAAAGTCAAATTTTTCTGATTTTCCCATTTTGGCTAAAAGTTCTGGGGCTTTATCTCCAATTTAGAACAAGAACTAATTTTAAATTATCCACAAATCCTTTCTGAAACAACTCTGAAAATTTTTCTTCTTCAAATCCATGCAAAAACAGAATTCTAACTGCTTAAAAAGTGTGACCCAACAACTACAATCCATAAATTTACCCTCCTTGAATGTGACTTACCTGCAGGTAACATTTTTTCTCCTTGGCCACAGAGACAAAGGGCAGGATGAGAAGAGCTTTCTTACGAGTCTCCAGGACTCGCTTCAAAATAAGCAATTCTGCAACGAGAGTCTTTCCAGCACTGGTAGGAGCTGCGGGGGGGCATAGAATAAAAATTGTGTTTTCAATTCATTTTTAAACTTTAAAAAAATTAATGCAAGGCAGGAGCATCATAAAGCTAGCAGAGAAAGCAGTTATTAGAGAACCTGGGGCAGGGCTCTTCAACGGATGGACCTTTTCCCACAGCCACAACCACACCTGCAGTTCACCTCATAAAGGGTCAAGACAACTGCAAAGTATTTCTCTTCTAGCCTCTTCCAGCCTGTTTGTGTTCTCATCTCTGATCCAGAAGCAACAGCAGCTCAGATATCAGCCAGGGGAAAAACAAAAACCACAACCAAACAAAAAAGCCCAGTACTGTCTTGGTTGGACAGAAGAGCCCAATCACCACCTTACTGACCTAGCCCATAAATACATTAACCCCTCCTGTTTGGCAAGCATGGCTGTTTGCCACCTACCACCCACAGAAAGCTGTGGAGGAGATGCCACATAGCAGGGCACAGCCATCAGGCAATCGGGCCCAAAGTCTTCTGCAACCAAGTAAATAAAGTGAATAAAGCACAAAGCCAAGTCTAAGAAAATCACCCACCCCTCCTTCTAAGTTCCTCATCCTCCCACTGCTGCCCTGGGACCTTCTTCCCATGGAGAGCAGACATCCAAGTTGCCACTTCGCACGGATTTATAGTCCAACAGTCCTACTTGTCCTTCTGCGCGTGCGTGCCCCCGCCCCCCCTATACACTCGGTCAAGTGAAATGATAAAAGGACTGAAAAAATGAGATAGTAAATAAATTTTTCAAAAGTACTTCTATGTAATATTGCTGTTATCTTACAGTTCCTGGTTAACACAGTCTGTAGTAAAAAAAGAGAGTCTCATCATTAACCGACTCCTAATTATCAGCTTCTAAAGGAACCTTAACAGAGAAAATAGGGGAAAAAAGTCTCTCCTCACATCTGGAAAGAGTCCATCAAGCCAGGTCTGAGGTACAGTGATGGAACAGATCTTAATGGGGTCTCTCCAGAAAAAAAAAAAAAGAGGATCTTGACCTTTTTATCTGCCAAATCAGGACCCTTCAGCACCAACATGTTCTTGGGAAAGCTAGGAGGGGCTGGTTTTGTCAGATGTTTGCATACCTGAGTAAACTAGGTTCTTCCCCTCCAGAACTTGTCCGAGCATTAGGCATTCTGCTTGCCATTCAAACATCTGTACTACTCCCAGACTGTGGTATCTCTCCAGAACTGCTTTGGGAAGACCCCAGCTTGCAAGGAGCAACTTGTCTGCTTGGTCTTCAGGAAGATTTACCTGCTGATATTGCCCTTTTGGAGTAGAAAATAAAGAAAGAAGGAAAAAAGTGAAGTATCATCATTCCTTCTGAGGTCACTTAGGTCATATACATAAAGGTTAAACATCTCTACAACCTCCTGTGTTATGAGAAAAGGTAACAAGAAACTATCTCACCTGTATTCTCAATATTTCCTATGGATGTTTCACCATTCTTCTGATCTCCTGAGATGACTTTTTCAATTTTTCCTCCTATGAGGTTTTCCACATTCAAATGATTCCTTCACCAAACCCTCACGCTGATACTTGCTTTTGAGGCAGAGCAGCCATCATCAAATACATATTCAGAGTTTCACTGATTAACATAATAGCATTACAATGTATTTGCCATGTCACCCTTGTCCAGACTGCTTCCTTTTTAAATTATTGCTACAGAGACTTCAGTAGTCCTCACAGATTGCAGAACTGCCCAGTCTTTTTTCTCGCTTTACAGATGAATTAAAAAAATGGACATAAACCAAATAAGCAGCTCAAGCTACTCTGCACTATGTGTTACGTCAGTTTATCAACAGATTGTTATCTTCACCACACTGCCAGTTCCTCTAGCTTAACGAAGTTCCTCGCTGCTTATTTCTTCTCTTTATAACCTGAAATAATTTTGTGCCAGCTACAGATACTGCCTCCTCCTCCCTCCCCCGCTTTTTCCAAATCATGAAGAAAACTCAAACATTTTGTCCCTTTCCTCACTGGGGACAGAAAACATGTTTCTGATTTTGGGACCGGTGCTGTTTAACATCTTTGTCAGCGACATGGATGACTGGAACGAGTGCACCCTCAGCAAGTTTGCTGACGACACCAAACCGGGTGGCGCGGTTGACATGCTGGAGGGCAGGGATGCCATCCAGAGGGACCTGGACAGGCTGGAGAGGTGGGCCCCTGCCAACCTCATGGAGTTCAACGGGTGTCCCTGCCCGTGGCAGGGGGGTTGGAACTGGATGGGCTTTTAAGGTCCCTTCCAACCCAAACCGTTCTGTGATCCACAGTAATAACTCCTCTATCACCCATGACTATATAGTTCCCATAACAGCTATTTCTGAAAGATCTTGCCAAACTGAGATGAAAAACAAGTAATAGTTTGTATTGACTCTACTGCACCCATTCTTCTACTGGCACATTCACAAAATTCTAAAGGATTTTTCCCACCATTGTTGACAGTATAAGGGCAGGCTAGATCAGAAACATTAGTGTGCATAAGCAGCCAGTATTTTTACTCAACACACTAAAAATTTCAACTGCCCTCTCGAGGTGAACCCCAAAACAGCCGTCACCGGTGCCTGATCATTCTCCCCCCACACAACCACATAAAAAAGCTGATGTAGCTTAGCTCTGAAAGCTTTGTTTCACTTTGTATAAGCAAAGTACTGTATGAATACTAAACAAGAAGCTGAGCACCATCAGGAGAGAACAGCAGTATGCCACAAAGCGGAACAGGCTTCCCAAGGGGAATTTAGAGGAGACCAGATTTTTCTATCCTAAAATGTGACTAATATGGCAGAATTAGGATTTGGAATCATACAAAGAAAAAAAAAAAACCTACATGATGGGATCTCAGGCTTCTTTCCTAATGTTAAAACCAGTGTAGTACACGTG